GGACCTATTTGTGCTCGGGACTTCACTTCGCATACTTAGCATCCTATATCGATCTTTCATTTGAATCACTCACTACATGTGAGTTCATACCCCTACAAATACACTTTTGAATGCTTTTAAATGCTTTTAGGGGGGAATACAAGTAGAAAACAATGAAATTGTGTTAACCATTTACATGTGAAAACAACATCCCAAAAGGATTTCTTATACTCAAAAACTTGTTAAAACTCTTTTAAATTATTTTAGACTTCTCTATATCAAATCATATTCGTCTATCTATTTACGTATAAGTATGCTTTAACAGACGTAGGACTATTGCTAGATACCTTGACTCCTGTTCCTTGTTTGGTTGTGGGCTTGGGGTAGGATCATTACTCCGAATGTCGGTTAAATCATAGTTATACTTATTAAATACATATATGAATATTAAACCCATTTTTAAGGTACATACTTAACTTAGTTGCTTATGGTTAGTAATTGAGTCTTTTCTACAAATCAGTAACAGTCAAACAATCATACTAGTAAACTATAATAGGTATAGTTTAGAGGATTACTACTTACTACTTCTAGATCAGTGAAACTTACATGAGTCAGTTCATACATGAGTCAGTCCATACATACTATAACTAGAACAGGAAGGATCATACATACTATAACCAGAACAGAAAGGAACATACATACTATAACAGGAACAGAAAAACATATATTCTATAACAAGAACAAGATAACAATAATATGAGCCACTATTTCATGGCATAGCAATATACTTGTTGTGTCACGTTTTGTAACCAGAGTCTCCTGGAGGGAGAGCGTGAGTTTGTGTATAGATCTATACGGGATTGACCATCCTACACCTTGCTGCTAGCTACAGTGGGACCTGCAGGTCTACGGGTGACAAATGTCATACCATTTCGACGTCTTTTGATCGTCGTGTTTTATACTAGTCAATCAAGCATGGTTATAAACTCATCACATTTTACCTTAATTTAACTTATTGGTTTTAAGGTAGTTAGTACTTCAGTAGTTATTTTATTTAATACTACTGTACATCTTCATTTTTCCCATTACATTCATATAGTGATATTCTCACATCGAGTAATGCAAACTATTTTCTAGTAAAGATAGTCATAAACTTGGGAAAACATACATTATTATGAAGAACAAACATACAAAACAGTTGAGTCTTGGTAGAAGACTACTTTCCATTTTAGTAGAAAATATAGGATTTTCTAGGAAGAACACAAACATTTACATCAAAACCCTTGCAAACACTTTCATAAAACTAATGCAAACTTTTGACACAAAAATGCTTATGAACTCACCAGCTTTAATGCTGATCTACTCTTTTAAAATAACTTGTATTCTCAGGTTACCAGTAGACAGATATAGATGACCACGTTTTGAGAAGACGGAGCATATTCAAGACTCGTCTTTATTTTGATTACATATTTTTGGTGTCTTACAACCTTACACATAACACACTTGTATTAACTATATTATTCCGGTTTGGGGGTGTGACATCAGGTTCGGTTGATCCCTCAAACATCTCAAACTCTTGTAATCATGTAGATGGTACACAGAACTCCAAACAAGTAATGCCGCCAAATCTTGAGGGTGAACATCACATCCCCCGACTCTAAATATTGAGTAGGATAATTCGCCTCGTGAGGCTTTAACTGTCTCAAAGTGTAAGCAGTCACATGACCCCTCTGCATAAGTACTACACCTAATCCCATAATCGAAGCATCACAATAAACCACAAAATCATCCACACCCTCGGGAAAGTTTAGTATCGGAGCCTCGCACAGCTTCTGTCCCAATGTCTCAAATGTTGTCTGTTGCTCAGGCTCCCATCAAAAATTGACATTCTTCTTCATCAACTGATTCAAAAGAATTGCAATCTTGGGAAATTCTTAATAAATTTTTGATAATACCTTGCTAAACCAAGGAAGCTTTGAATCTCGGATGGAGACCTCGGTACCTCCCAATGTGTAGAGTATAATTTTGTTGTGATATGTCGAATCTTAGGCGGTGTTCTTAGTAACGAATGCATGTAAATGACAAGGGTTCATAAGACTTCGTTATATATGTATTTACTAGGAATATTTATTGGTTCGCATTTCAGTGTTGAAGTCCTTGTATTTTTTTTATACGTGAGTATCCTATAAATAGGATAGGTACATAAGTGTGTTGTAACTTTTGCATTCTTACGCATTGAGCTTACTCTCTCTCTCTCTCTCTCTCTCTCTCTCTCTCTCTCTCTGCAACTATATTTGTACTTATTCCAGATTTATGCTGAATTGAAAAATCTTATTTACTCTCGTTGTTCTTACTTACTCTGATGTACATTACGATTAATTGAGACAATAGTTAAAACATATTTTCAATTGGTATCAGAGCAGAAATCCACACATCGAGTGGAGAATCTTGTTCATATTTTCATCTTATTCAATCATTCACTTCGATTCAATCATTCTAAAAGTGGAAATGTAACTCTTGGTTCAATCTATGTGATTAAACATTTTGCATTCGTTTTATCAATCGTTTTGTATCTGATTTCTTTCTTTTCAAGTTTATCCTCTTTTTCTCGATCTAATGGCAAACTTGAATATCAACACTGTGATGAACTATGTTAATCTGATTGGATCTAAAAAAAGATTCTGATGCTGCTTCCAGAGTATTACGATCAAATGGGCGGATTGTATGGAAGACTATATCAACGGGATTGATGAAGATCTTTGGCGATCTATTGAAAAAGGTCCTTATTGTGTTGATCTTATTCAAGCGGTTGGAAATGATGGTGATACTGAAGATATGATTGCTTAAGGAAAAAAGAAGAAGGCCAATTACAAGAGATGTCTTCGACAACTACATGGAGCTTTTCCGCCAGTTGTGTATAACTATATTCAAGGTTGCAAGACTGCGAAATAAATCTAGGACACTCTGAAAGAGAAATACCAAGGGAATGAGCGAACCAAGAAAAGTTATGTGACTCAATGCTTATCGAAGTTATTCGACTTCAAGCAAAAGGAGAGTGAATCAATTGAAGCCTATTATGATCAGTTCAATGAGCCCATCTACAAGTGTACCAGACATGGTGTAGTCCATACCACCATCGAGTTCAATATCACTTTCATCCTAGGGATGAAGAAGGAGTGGAAGAACATATGCCTGATGATCAAGACTCAGGAGAAATTCGACACTTACTCATTGTCGAATCTCAATAACATTCTGAAAGCACACGATTCTCGGGTGAAGGAGATAGCTAAAGAAAACAGCAAGATAAAATTTGGAGTTTAAACTCAAAGTTTCCCGAGAACCCGAGAACTAAAAGTGGAGCGTTGGATCAAAAGTAATTCGTTAAGGACATGATCATCATCTTACCAATCTCATTTAATGTTTAATTTTTTGTGTTATTTAATATATTAATATAAATGTCTAAAAATTAACAAAATAACTCAAAATTTCGGATTTATTTTAAAAAAAATTAATTTTTGATTTTTTTAAAAAAATGGAGATTTTTTAATTTTTTTCAAAAAACATGAATTTTTCAAAAAAAATGAAAAAAAATATTTTTTAAAAAAACTTCATCTTTTTTTTAAAAAAAACTGCATTTTTTCTAGAAAAAAACTGAATTTTTTTTTCAAAAAAAACTACATTTTTTTTTTCAGAAAAACTGCATTTTTTTCAAAAAAAAAAAACTGCGATTTTTATAAAAAAGTGTAATTTTTTTCAAAACTGCATTTTTTTAACAAAAAATCAATGTTTTAGGTGCATATATGCATATTTTTTTCAAATGCATATATGCATATTTTGTTATACTATAATATTCGTAAGTAAATTATAAAAAATCTCATTTTTATTAATCAATTTATAAACATAATACAATATTTTATTCGATACAAAATAAAATATAAAAAAAACTACAAAGATTCACAGTGTTATCATTTCTTCATATCAAGATTTCCATATTTTCTTCAATTTATCACTTTTCACCTCTTCAATATTTTCCAAAAATTCTTCAAAATCTACAAGAAAATAAAAAAAAAATTGATTAATGCAAGAACACGCACATGTATATATCATGTAAGATTCACATATGATTATATAATCTGATATTCACATGTGATTGTATCTTTTAAGATTTAAATGTGAAATTCACAAGAAAATTTTAAAAAAATAATTAACGAAGAACGCTTACACAAAGTGCATGTGTGCATATAGACGTAATTTATATGTGATTCACTTGTGATTTACATGTGAATTACATGTGATTAATATGTGAATTACATGTGAATCACATATAATTCATATGTGATTAACTTGTGAATCACATGTAATTCATAGGTAATTCACTTGTAATTTACATGTGAATCACAAATTAATCATATGTGAATTACATGTAATTCATATGTGAATTACATGTTATTTACATGTGAATCACATGTAATTCATATGTGATTCACTTGTGATTTACACGTGAATCACATGTAATTCATATTTACATGTGAATCACAAGTGAATCATATATGAATTACATGTGATTAAAATGTGAATCGCATGTGAATCATATGTGAATTACATGTTATTTACATATGAATCACATGTAATTCATATGTGATTCACTTGTGATTTACATCACATATAAATTACATGTGAATCACATGTAATTCATATGTGATTCACTTATGATTTACATGTGAATCATATGTAAATTACATGTGAATCACATGTAATTCATATGTAAAGTTTGCAACCAAAATACTTCAATAAAATTATATTTTCATTTATATATCATACTAATGGATTAGTTTATTGGTCACCGAATCAGAAATCAATGATGGAACAGAAAATATCCCAAAGATTAATTAAAATATACCTCTTTCCTCAATGTAAAATGACCAAAATTCAAACGAAAATGATTGTTATACTTTGATGAGGCGTTTAATCTTATAGGAATTCTAATTTTTGAAGCATCAAGGTCAATATCAAGAGCAAATCTACAAATGCAAGAAGAAATACAGGAAATTAGCAAACATTGCATCAGGACTAACAAAATATCCTGTTTTCTCTTTAAGGAATGACACAACATTGATTTTGTTGCTCCTTTTTGCAGCTTTCCACTCACTTTGTAGATCCTCATTATCTGCAAACTGCATAAATTTTTTTTTTAAAAAAAAGGTCAATAGTTCTGGATCACAGACTTTGTCTTTATCCAAACAGACATCATTTATTCATAACCACACTTAAAACTTAAATATCACATCAAAAAATATCATATTATTCTAAAAATAAAACTAACATATATATATATATATATATATATATATATATATATATATATTATTATTGTACTGTTTTAAAATATAACATTTACAATGTGTAATTAGTCATTTCTTAATTCTAAAATCAAGATTTGAAACATCATAATTAATAGTGGACTCGTTTTAAAGCTCCTGATAAAAAATTTATAATGATATGAATTGTGATGAATATATAGAAAAAAGGAAAGATATACTTAAATTTATTAGTTATTACCTTACGCAATTCTGCTAATTTTTCAGTGTTGAGTACCCAATCTTCTCCACCAGTCCACTTGGTTATGATTTTACTGAGGGCAGGATTGCAGTAATATATCCATCTTCTTGGTGTCACTTCATTTGTTTTGTTTTGAAATTTCTCAGGTTAATTATGTAAAAGGTCAATATAAAGTAAATTACTCTATAATGTACTGAAATTTTGATTTTTTAATAACTTACCTACCAAGTGAATCTTGAACAGTATGTGCAACAAATGCAAGGTTTAGATTTGCAGAGCCTTCAACGATATCTTTAGGAGCCAAGTATCTTTTGCAATCCATTTTTTCTGCATGCTTGAGTACCAGATTTGCCCTTTCAGCCGGATCCTTGGTATCCAATGTGCCTGGGCTGCAATGTTCTGGTGCAAGAACATTAAGCAGGTAAGCATAAGCTTCTCCATCCTACACACATCATGTACCAAATCACACTGGTGTTAATAAACATGAAAAAAAACACAAATGAAAAACGAAGATTTATCTTGAGATCAGATGAGAAATTTGTTACAGGTTTCTTGTATCCTGCTTTCTTACAGGATTCGAATTTCAGTGAATAACCTAGTCCAATCAACGTCAACATCAAATTAAACCGGTCTGTGGTTTCTAGCGAGGAGATCGGAAAGTAATTTAGTGAGAAAATTAGCTCGACTCCGGTGATAATCAATCCACACACACAAATGCTTGATTGCTTCCCTTTTATCCTCTTTGAGAACAATTATAGTTTCATGATTCGATTAGGGAGGAAGAGAATGAAAATGTTGTGGTTAGGGGTGATTACCTGATGAACCAGTGGAAGGATTTGGCGGAGCAGGCGAATGATGATCCGATTCACGACTAGAAACACAAAGAACCTAAAAAGAATCTAAAGTCAGGGACAAATCTAGAAATTGATTTAAACACGATCTCATCTATCACCACAAAAACACCGATGAACATAATTAGAACTCCAGCCACAGTGAACAAGCTCTGAATAGATCTAGAATCAGAATGATGGATGTGAGAAAGGAAATCGATTGAGAAAGCTCTGAATAGATTTACGTCTAGCATCAAAGAGAAGAAGGTGAAGAGATTTACGGATGTTATTAGTTGTATGGATCGGTAACTTCACTTTTTTCGTTTTCTGAAAGGGGTTGCTCCGAGGAGGTTTGTGCCTCCATGTTCGTGGTTAAATCATGGAGGAAATAGACAGAAATCAACGAGGTGTGATCGTTGTGGAGACCGAAGTTGATCTGGAAGGCAGAGGGCATCGATATGGAAGGCGGAAGGATCTGATCTAGAAGCAATCGCCGATGAAGCTCTGAAAGAAAGAGAGTCGTTGGGTGAGACAATCGATGGATTTGGGAGAAAAAGAATCGATCGGATTTTGGGGGAATGATCTAATTTCCAGATTTTTTTTTTCATACCGATAATACCCTTATGATTATGTTTACAGAAACCTAATATGCCACTAAAGATAGTCATATTTACAAAATATGTCATTGATCATCTAAGCCATCCAAATAATTGATCCAACCCTCCACTTTTAGTTCTCGGGTTCTCGGGAAACTATGAGTTCTCAAATGATCATTGCTCTCTTTCTCTCTCTCTCTCTCTCTCTCTGTATATATATATATATATACGATTCGGTTTTTTAGAGTGATTTTAGGGTAAAACCACCGCATCGATTATATTTAGTTTTTATCAAATTAAAAACAACACCGTCATTTTTTGTAACCGTTTTGGTTTATTGTTGGTTTTTTTAAAAACAAAAACCCTGACTTGGGGTTTGATAGATTTTCAAAATGCTTAATTTTTCAATATTTTTTTTGCATTAGGAACCATTACAAACTTGTTTTGTAAAAATTAAAAAAAATAGCTTATTTTTGTTAAAAATAAGACAAAATTGCAAAAATGGTCCCTGTGGTATGCATTTTTTTGGGGTTTCAGTCCAAACCTCGACTTTTTTGGATTCATGGTCCTTTTGGCCTAGTTTGTACGTAGAAATGGTCCCTCGACTTAACTTCCGTTAAGTTATTGATGTTAACCCCCTCATGTGCATCTCACATGAGGGTATATTTGTCTTTTCACATATAAAGGATCATTTTTGCACCTAAAAAATATATCTTTTTTTTTAAAATAAAAATTAATACCTATTTATTTATTTTAATAATTAAAAAATAAAAAAGGTTTCTCTCTTTCTCTCTCTCTCTCTCTCTCCACCCAAAATACAAAAAACCAAACCTGCGATGGTGGGTTGTATTTGAACTTATGAAATTGAAAATCAACTTCAACTAGAGAATCGAACATTCAGCTTCAACCAGAAAATCAAGTTCAAAAACCAAAAATCAAGTTCTGAGATTAAAAATCAACCAGGAAGCAAATATTAAAAATCTGGGTTCGAGTGGGTCCATGGTTCGATTTGCAAATAGAGACAAATCAAGCTTCGATTTGGAACCTAGGTAAACAGAGAAGAAAGGGGAGGGTTATCAGCTCTGATTTTGTTTTGAAAATCTTCGTCTTCGTCACCACCTATTCGCCTGGAAAGCTTGTCTTCTTTAAAGCTTACAGAAGACCCAATTTGACATGAGTTGAACTTTGACAACTGGAACTGGAACTCAAAAAAAAGGGGTTTTTTTTGTGATCGTGTGTGCAGGTGAGAAACAAGAAGAAAGAAGATGGGTGGGGTAATTAGGTGTGTGTTGAGAGAAGATGGGTGGGGTAATTGTGTCGTTAGTCTCCGTGGATGTCGACCCATTGCCTCAACAACAACTTCGGTAAGGAAATGTGCGAAAGGGGGAAGATGCAATGAATAACTGAATGAGGTGGTGAGGCTGCTCCCCGGCGAGTCTCATCGTGGTTTCTTTCTCGTCATCGATAGCAACGATTCGGAAAGGAATCAGAGCAGCTGCAACAACAACGATTGAGGTGGGGTGTTTGGGGTTGTGATTTTTCGAATGTAGGAGGGTTGCGGAGGTGTTGAACATCGATTGTATTCATCGAAAGGGTTATAGCTCCTCTTGATCTCACCGGAAACAGCCATCCAAGGGTGTGTTTGTTTGTTTAATGCTCGACAGGGGATGATGCTCGACAGGGGATTTTGGGTGATGCTTCTTCAACAATTGTGTTTGGGAAGAAGAAAAGGGAAGATAGAGTGAGGAAGACGAGAGAGAGAGAGAGAGAGAGAGAGAGAAACCATTTTTATTTTTTAATTATTAAAATAAATAAATATGTATTAATTTTTATTTAAAAAAAAGGATATATTTTTGAGGTGCAAAAATGGTCCTTTATATGTGAAAAGATAAATATACCCTCATATGAGATGCACATGAGGGGGTTAACAGCAATAACTTAACGGAAGTTAAGTCGAGAGACCATTTCTACGTACAAACTAGGCCAAAAGGACCATGAATCCAAAAAAGTCGAGGTTTGGACTGAAACCCCAAAAAAATGCATACCACAGGGACCATTTTTGCAATTTTGTCTAAAAATAATCTCAGAAATTGATTTTCTATTTATATTTCTTTTGAACATAATTAATATAATAATAACATTTTTCATAACACCTATTACAAACCCAATTTTTGAAAGCCAGCTAGATCGCTGAATTTTGGACATTGTTTCCGCAAACTCATATCATATGCGAGTAAGAAGATCCACCATGTGCGGACGTGGTCTATATTTAGCTACCAAAGGTCGGGCTTTTGGCATCGTGAGACCAGGTCCTTCGTTCATCTCCACCTTCTCCACACCAATTCTCTCCCACTCAAAACACTGAACCAGTGTCCCTAGGGTCAACCCCACCAGTCGCATGGCCAAATCTTCACCAGGACACCTCCTTCGCCCTGACCCAAACGGCATAAACTTGAACCCATGATCCCTCTGCCCTTCAACCTGATCAACAAACCTCTCCGGCTTAAATCTCTCCGGCTCCTCCCACAGCTTCGGATCATTTTGCATTGCCCAAAGGTTCACCAACAGCATTGTTCCCGGGGGGACGAGGAAACCACCGACGATGCATTCTTCTGTGGATTCGTGGGGTGGAATCAGTGGTGCAGCTGGGCACATACGAAGTGTTTCGTTTATAACTCCATGAAGATAGGGAAGATTAGGAAGATCGGAGTCGTTCATAAGTCTTGAAGAACCCACTTTCTTGTCTATTTCGTCAACAACCCTTTTTAGGGAATCCGGGTGGTTCAGTAGAAGAGTTAAAGCCCACTCTAGGGTTCCTGCTGAAGTATCAGTTCCAGCTGAGATCATCACCTTTAATTTGAATCCATAATCCACAAAATTTGGTTAATTAACATAACCTACTTAAAAATCTATATGATCGATATTCCAGAACGATATGTGTTTTGAAGACTTACTAGTATCAAGCCTCGAATGATTTCATCTGTATAGTATTCCGGATCAGTTTCTTGCAAGGACAACAGGACATCGATGATAGTCAAAGAATCATGACTCCTCATCCTCCTGTGCCCTTCAATCATGTCTTGAATGGAGGAATCCTTCTTTTGATTTAGTTTTACCATCTTCTTTTCAGTCGAGTTTACACCAATCCACTTTGCTAGAGGCACAAAGTCTCCGATATTTGATGCACCGCTCAACCGGAAAGTTTCCTCCACCATTTCCTGGAACTTTCTTGCAGCCTCCGGTTCTCCCTTGTTGTCGCTGTATAAGCGTCTCCTTCCTGTGATCATTCTCATTATCGTGTTCAATGTAACGCTAAAAAAGCATGACTTCATTTCAACGACATCGAATCCAGAGTTTTTAGAGCTCTTGTGTAACATAGACATTAGAGAGAGAACCTCGTCATGACGAATGTTTGTAAACATCTGAATACGATTGTTGGACAAAATTTCAAGCGAAGCAATTTTTCTTAAGTTTCGCCAATGGTGTCCATACGAGGCCCAAGTAAGGGTGGTGTAGTTGTAACCAAGGTGTTTTCCGGCAAGTAGCTTTGGCCGGTTTGCAAATACTAAATCATTGGTTGTAAAGCACTCTTCAGCAGCAGAAGGAGATGAGACAACGAGGACTTTGCGTGAACCAAATTCAAGAAACACAACAGAGCCATACTTGTTGGAAATCTTGGCTAGGGTTCTATGAAGTGGTTTTTTTAAGAGATACAGATGCCCGATTATGGGTAGTGAAAGAAAAGGCCTTGGTGGGAATCTATGGAACTTATGAAGGAAATGTTTGGTGATCATGTATAAGAAGAGAGAAAATAAAAAGATAGAGCACCAATTCATCATGAAAAGATTTAACAGAATCGACTGGCTTTAATTTGACTATAAAATCAACAACTACGAGGTGGTATATATCAAGACTCAAGTAATTAAGCAGTAAACTAATCGGTATATATATAAGAAAACATACGTACTAGACAATTAAAGAAATATATGAGTACAAGAGTATAGATTCGTATTACGAGGAACACTGATACTGGTGTTTGCATCCAAGATATTAGTCGGCTATCAGGTTTTTTAATTAACGCAATGTTCGTTGTTAAGATGATTGAATATTTAATACTCTTATTCTTGTTTTCGATCCTGTTTCGTTCTGTTTTTTTTTTCTTTCTAGTAAGCTTTCATTTTGAAGGTGATTATTCTAATGTGGTGTCCTTTTCATGCACTACGAATCAGATGTTGATGGATGGGTAGGAAACAAATGTCTTTCCCAAATGGCGTATAATTACTTGGTTATCTGCTCTCTCGTGATGTGTTCATGGCAGAAACAATTGTGCTTTGTCTCCTATAAGTTTGTTACAGCATCCAAGATTGTAGGATAAGGCTTTTCATGACACCTCACTAATAGTAAAACAAAAAAACAAATTCTAACTTATTTAATTTTTTGGTGTAGTTTTTTCATTAAAATTTTCAAATAAAAAAACATATTTTTATTTCTATATTTAATATTTATTTACAATTGATAAATAATACTAAAACACCAAATATAAAATATAATGTTTAAGTTTTATTAGTATAAATTGATACCTCGACACTAAACTTTACGACCAGATGTAATATTGGTAAATAGTATAAAACTAAATATCAAATATAATATTATATTATTCATTAATATTAAATTAAGGTTTCACTAGTACGAGTTATTTTATTTGATAATGTTAATTGAATTATTATATTTAATAATTTAAAATACAATACATATTTAAATAAAACACATAGTTAATACATAATTAACAATTCTGGTAATATTATAATAATACAAGTGACATGATTGTTTTGTAAAAAATGTAGAAGTTGGATAATAAGGAATATCAAATATGACTAGATATAGGCATGCACAAACCGGTTTTTTCTTTAACCGGACCGGTTCAAAAAACCGGTTCGGTTCTGGTCAACGAAGTCAAAAACCGGTTCACCCCTAAACCGGTTCGGTTTCAAACCGGTTCACCACCAAAATAATTCGAACCTATACAAACCGGTTCGGTTCAGTACAAACCGGTTCACCTCAAATCGGTTCACCATAAACCGGTTCAAAACCGGTTCGGTGAACCATTTCAAAAAAAATCGGACGGAATTGCTTCTTTTTTACAATGTTTGTTTTGTTTCTTAGGATATCATGGCTAATATATGCATCGTTAGTTTGTAAGACCGGTTCTCTAGACCGGTTCAAAATCAGTTCAAAACCGGTTTTCTAGATCGGTTCAGCATAAACCGGTTCAAAACCGGTTCGAATGGCTAGAAGTCCTAATTACTACAAACCGGCGGTTCGGTTCGACATCAGATCGGTTCAACAGTGGACCGGTTCAAGGGTGAACCGGTTTTCGGTTCGGCCACCGGTTCGGATCGTAAACCGTTTTTTTTGTGCAAGCCTAACTAGATATGGGTCTAAGTTTGTAAAAGTTGGATACTTGGATTATAAAATTTCGGTCTCATGTTTACTTACTGTTTTGGGTTGATTGTATTCATTCGTAGAGGCCCAATTGTTTGTATCCGCATTGGTTCATCAAGTCAAAAAGAGTTTGTCAAGCAAAGATTTTGGATCCTAGTTTACAGTCCGTGTCTATTTTCTCTGTAGGTGGGTTTATACCACAATCCATTATATTTTTATTCTTCTCTCGCCCTAATAAAAATTAGACAAAATTTCACAATTGGTCCCTGTGGTTTACATAATATCACACTTTGAGGACTTCTTAGCAAAAAATCACGCGAATGGTCCTTAAGGTTTCGTTTCATTGTGCGATTGGTCCTTGACCCTAACCCCGTCACTTTTGTACCGTTAGTGAAGGGGTAAATTTGTCTTTTCATCTTGCAGTCACTCTAATAATCCTTCATTATGCACATAATATACGCATGATCTCTGCAATTAAGTACAAAGATCATCTTCCACAGCTACCCATTACCCTTTCGCATTCATCTTCGTCTTCTCCAACAGAACACAAGGCGATGATCATCTTCCGATTGAAAACGATAATGGTGTTAACGTTATGGTCAGTTCGTTCCAAACACACAAAAGCATCAAATATGATTTGGAAAGGATATACCGTAAGTGACTTACTAAAGTGATCTTTGATTGTGTCGATTTGATATTACGCCCAAATAGTTGAAATTTTTTTTGTTATTCTTTATTTCAGAGGGAACAAGCAACTTCTTCACTCTGAAAATCCATCATGGTGGGATATTCACGAAAAGCCCTGGGAGAAGGTACGTAGATGGAACAATAGACTATGTTGACTTCGTAGATATTGACGTTTTCTCTGTGCACGAGTTGGATACAATGGTTCGAGAAATAGGGTACGTAGAAGGGCAAACTTTGTATTATCATTTTCTTATTCCAGAAGTAGAGTTGGACTTTGGTCTGTTACCTTTAGGAAATGATGGGGATGTGCATGTATTGTCAAATTATGTGGAAAAAAATAACCTTTTAAGTATCTACATAGAGCATGGGCATACAAGGGTTAACAATTATTTTTTGTCCCCCACCAAGGTTATTATTGAGGAGTTGGTTACTGATGTCTCCCCTGAACTAGATAGGAACCAAAAGAAGAGGAAAGTTGTTGGATCTTCTAGGAAAAATTAGACTACTCCCAGTCCATTGTGCCATATGGAACATTTGATGGACCTTAACAAGTGATACAGAATAATGAGCCAATTATGGATGATGAGCCAGTTATGAATAATGAACCAGTTATGAATGATGTGCCAGTTATGACTGATGAGCCAATCATAGATGATGAATATGATGAGCCAGTTATGAATAATCAACCAGTTGTAGATGATGAATATGATTGTGAGGATAGTGCATATGAAAGTGAATTTGATAGTCAACAAGATGCAAAAAAAAAACAGTGTTTGATGAGGAACCTTTGATAGATGATGTGGATGTGAACATGATCGACTTCTCTAGTATACTTGATGAAGACATTGACTTGGGGCAGCCCGATCCGACAAACAATAATACAGAGGAACATGAAAACAGTGAAGATGAACCTTTAGAAGTCTTAGATAATGATGTGTTTGAGTCATTTGCTAGTGAACAAGAGCCTAGAAAGAAATTGTTAAAGTCCATTCTAAAACCAGTTGCTTGTTCATCTGGTGAGGTTCACACTAAAGCTTTTAAGATTGGTCAGACATTCAAGGAAAAGGAAAAGATCAGAGAAGTTATTGCCAACTACTCTGTAAAAGAAAGGAGGGATCTATATTACGTAAAGAATGACAAGACAAGAGTTAGGGTAAAGTGTAGGGGTCTTGTCCCTGAATTGACTGGTGACAGTAATAAAGGTAGGGGCAATTTAGTACTTTCCAAGAAAACAACTTGTCCATGGGTTCTTTTTATTTCTAGGTCAGATGAAAAAAAAACGTTTAGACAGTCAAAACATACGAAGATTGTCATTCTTGTTTGCAAACAAGGACAGTGAGGGCTTGTTCATCTATGTTTCTAGCTAACAACATATTGCATCAAGTTGAAAGTAACCCCAAGATCCCTACACGTGCTTTACAGGAGGACTTAGTACAGAGGTATTCACTTTCAATATCAAAGATGAAAGTATTTCGGGCCAAAGCTATGGAAAAACAATATGTTTATGGTGATTATGAAAAGCAATATGGTATTTTGAGAGAATATGCCATGGAATTGAAGTCAAAGAATCCAGTTGCAACTGTGAAGATAGATGTCGAAACCGAACCCAATTTGTGTTCTGAAACAAGGATCTTCAACCATATATATATATATATATATATATATATATATATATATATATATATATATATGCTTAGGCCCATTGAAGGAGGGATTTAAAAAAGGTTTGAGGGATTTTCTTGGATTTAATGGTACGTTTTTGAAGGGTCCCTTTCCTGGACAGATTCTCACTACAGTTGGGCTTGATTCGAACAATGGCATTTACCCAGTTGCATATGCCATTGTAGAGACTGGAAATATTAACTCTTGGACATGGTTTTTGGAACACTTGGGTGATGACTTAGATTTGAATTCTTCATCTAACTTCACTTTCATTTCAGATCGGCAAAAGGTACCCTCTAACTTCAACAACTTTTACTTTTTTTTTAATTTCATTTACTAACTTATTTTAATTATACTCACAGGGAATCTTGGCTGCAATAGAGAAGCTATTTCCATCAGCCGAGCAAAGGTTCTGTTTAAGACATGTGTATGACAACATGAAATTGAAACACAAAGGAGATGAATTGAGGGAAGCAGTATGGTGTTGTGGAAAAGTATACAACATACCAAAATTTAATAGGGCTATGGAGAAACTGAAAAAGCTTAATCCAGAAGCACATGAGTGGTTAAGTAAAATTCCTGCAAATCACTGGGCAAGATCCCATTTCTCTGGTAAGTATCAAACTCTTTTCACTAACACATTTCATAACTGATTTTAGAAATTAATTGTTTGGTTTTATATATAGGAAGGGCATTGACTGATAGTTTGACAAATAACTTGTGTGAGGTATTTAACTCCAAGTTAGATGAGGCAAGGGAAAAGCCTATAATCACTTGTTTGGAATATATTAGAGAATACCTCACAAAGAGAATAGTAAATGTTCATAAGGTGCTAGACAAATGCAAAGGTTCTTTAAGTACAACTGCAACAACAATCTTAGAACACAATAAGATAGAGGCAAATAAGATGAGGGTTCTATTTAGTGGAGCTGATAAATATCAAGTGACTGGTCTATGGATGGAGCAGTATGTTGTGAACTTGAAAGAGAGGAGTTGCACTTGC